TGTCGGAGGGTCAGCGCCGAGGGAGTGCCGCGCTGTCGGAGGGTCAGTGCCGAGGGAGCGCCGCACTGTCGGAGGATCAGTGCCGAGGGAGCGCTGCACTGTCGGAGGGTCAGTGCTGAGGGAGCGCCGCGCTGTCGGAGGATCAGTGCCGAGGGAGCGCTGCGCTGTCGGAGGGTCAGCGCTACTCCAGTGACATTACCACTACCGCAAACAAGAAAAGTGCTCAGGAATTGCACATTCTGTTGTGTTTTTCGCTGTCCGTTTGCAGGTTTGGTAACAGGTTTGTGTCTGGTTGTAGCCTATGGTGCGTTTCACTGAAGACACTGTGATTCGCGGGGAGGAGGAAGGAACTGGTGAAGGTGATTTCATTCCTGAGAAGCAAAGACTGATTCGTAAGGACACCCCTCACTACAAGAAGCAATTTAAGATTAATAAGCTACCTAAACCTGAGGCAGTGTTGGCCATACTGCAGGGCCTGCCCAGCACTGATATCCCAGATGAAGGTGACCAACTCACTAAGTACAGCCCGTGCCTGGATGGAGACATGGGCCCACTGGAGGATTGCCTGGAGTTTAGAGATGAAAGGCTTTCCCAGCCTCCCATTAAGGTAGGATGAAAGCACTGGCCTGCATCACTGACACTGGGAAGAAATAGACACTGATAGGGCCTAACTGGTGAAGGCAGGCTTACTGTACACTGGCAGCAGTGAGTGGCCAGAACCCTTTCAACTGCTATGGCATAGAGCTGCAATTCACTCTTCACTTCAGCTGGTGTCTCAGTGCCAAGCTGAGACTCGCCAGAAAATGCTGCCTGGAATTAGAAATTGTCCACAGTCCATCCTCTGTTCTCTCAGATTAATGATTGTCCATGTTCCACAGGCCTATTGTGACTCAGTTGGGATTTGAATGTCCCAGACACTTTGTCAGATTTGGGTTCTTCATATTCAGTGTGATCTGGAGCAGAGTTGTTATTTTGAGTTTGGTTATTTCTTGGAGCTGTGCACTGGGATCTCTTGTTCCTCACCCTCTGACCCTGACTGCAGCAGATATCAATAAGATGGAGTGGGGTTAATCTGTGATCAGCAGTTGCATCATGCAAACCCGAATTAAAACCAGTCAGAGCACTCAGTGCGCTACCTCTTCACAGCATTGTATGGGTTATCCTGGAGCCAATTGCTGTGCTCCGTGCGTGTGGGGTGGGGGGGGTCCCACCAGTAGATGGTACCTCGTGTCCGTGTAGGGGGGGCCACCGGAGACAGAACCCCGTGTCTGTAGGGGATGGGGGGAGCTACCGGGAGACGGCACCCCGTGTCCGTATGGGGGGGTGGGGGGAGGTGCCGGAGACGATGGTTGTTTAGTTGCTTGATTTCTAGCACACCCACTGCAGAATGATGTGTTGTAGTTTATTAAGTGAGGTCAGTGAATTGCAATCTCCAGCATTTGTCAGTCAGTGTTTAATGTATGAAGTAGAGTGAGTTCGTCAGAATTCAAACACAAGCTGGGAATATTCAAATCTGTGATTTACCTTACCGTCCTTTTCTGTCATCTGCCCCTCCCCGTCCCAATCGGACACTCTTGCTTCATGTACACCATTCGCACTCAACCCCCAACTCTGTTCGTTCACCACCCCTCCCCCACCCCCTTCACTCTTTCCCCCCCCGCACTCTGTTAATCCATCTCCCTCTCTGGGGATCCATCAGTCTCTCTGTATTTCTTGCCTGCATATCCCGCCCTTTCTCATACTGGTTTTATTAAACTAACTGATCAGCCCCAGTTTTAATTTGAGTAATGATTTATCCCAGTGTGCATGTTGCAGGTGGCTTCCTCGCTGTGTTATGTGATGGTGTTTGAGTAATACTAGCCTAATGTATTACACCCACTCACACTTCATCCCTGTAGGCCACACTGTTAGGCAAGTGATGCAGAGGGTAGTCCCAGAGATCCTGTCCATACCCAAGCGGGTGGTCTCGCTGCCTACACACTTACCCCCACTATTGCTCACAGAAGCTGCAGGTTCTTCACTCCTGTGACCCATGCCTTTTAGTCTACCTCGCTTGGATTTTTCCCCCACACTGAATCCAGGCCAGTCTTAAGTGCTCTGGGAGCGCAAGGGCAGTCGGGCATTCTTTGAGAGGGTGGGACACACAGTCACAAATAAGGTCAAAGGTGATCTCTCAATACATTGCTTAAAGGGGCAGTGGGAGCAGGTTTGAAATAGCTTTCAGAAGGGAATTGGATATATAGTTGAAGAAGGAGGTGTTTGCAGAGTTATGTATATAGAGAGTGCAAGCTGGACAGTGAATCTAATTGGATGGCTCATTCTAATAGCCTGCTGTGTTGAATGTTGTCACTAATCTGAGTACAGGCCTTAGTTTAATCCATGAATGGTGTATTTCCCCACTGGTGTGCACTGCTAGCGACTCCTTTACGTAACTCTGCACTTACCTGTGAGGACAGGCTCACAGCTTTGATTGAAATAAGGCTGTCCACGTGATACTGTCTGGTTCATTTCTGACATTGCTATTTGCGTTCAAGAAGGGTGATTGTACTGCTGGAGAATAAGTTTGTGTTTAACCTGAAGAATTGTGCATTTTTTTGTAATGTAATCTGTGAGAACATGGAGTACTGGGAAAAGCCCCCGGTCAAGACTTACGGTGTCCCCCCCTTGATTGATGGCAAAGCTGGTCACCTCTCTCTCACATGCAGCTGGATGCCGTGCTGATCTGTTCTTTCACAGTTTCTGCTTCTCTTTAAAATCAGATGAAAATGTTCAAGCTAAAGGTTTGGTGTTTGCTGTTTGATCTGTTCTCTGGGCTCTCAAATTCTTCAAGGAGAAAACTAATGGAACCCCTGAAGTTTCTGTTTCCCTTCACTTTGGGGGATTATTCCCCTCGTCCCCTCTTGCTGCTGAGCTATGGTTTTGTCTTTCTGTGCTGGCTACTTCTGTTCATCCACAGTGTGTTTGGGATGCAGCGCTGTTCTGTGTAGGATTATGAGCTTGCAGCTTCGGTGTGGTGTGTGGTATTGGAGCGTGGTTCTCGGGGCCGTGGGTGGGAGGATGCCAATGTTGAGGGGCTGAGTGTTGGCAGTGGGAGGAATGGAGAGAAGGAAGCTGGTTGGGGGCGGGGGTGTTGGTGGAGTAAGGCCTTTAGTGAGCAGGCGAAGGGCAGTATGCATGAAACAAGCACTGAATGTGTGGATGGATGGCAATGAGGAGTTGGTTTGTCTGGTAACTGAGCACTCTCAGCCCCATAGGGCTGTGAGGGGACCTCTGTGAGGGAAGGGATGGATGTGGACACTGAGGACAGGGGAGGGTGGTGTATGTGGGGACATGTTGGTCCTCAGTGGTTTTTAAACTGTGGCGAAATCCATTTGTTACTAACCAGCTGGTGTGCCATAATCCTCCATGTTAGATGTCCGTTGTGGTTGTCAGGCCCTGTGTCTCAGTTGCAGCGCTTGTTGCTGATGTTACTTAAGGCAGAGTTAAACCATCTCTCCGTTTGACCGCACTGGTGTGTTCCTGTCTGGCTGTGATTATACAGGAATGGGTGGCCTGTATGATGCCCCATCGAGTGTGTGGCTCTACCTAAGCCTGACCTACGCTGGAGCGATTACATTCAAGCTGTTCAACGCTGAATTGAAGGGAATCACCAGCTTTCAGTTCTAAGGTTCTGATCGTCCAGTGACGGGGGTGGATGAAGCTGTCCATTAAACCATAGTCAGTCTAGTCAGTTAATTCTATCACAGGTGAAAGGCCAGTGGTTTAGTTGAAGCATCCTAACGAAGAGTTTTCTGTCGAATTGGAAATGACAGGAATTCAAAGATGACTGTAAATTTCATCTGTATGAAAGCCTCTTTGTGTCTAGTTGCCCTTATTGTGTCCTGACCTTACTACAATGCCTAGCACTTGGTGAGCTGTAGCTGGGTGATTGGACTTCAGCCAGTTCACTGTGACTTTGTTCTGAAGAAGGATTACTGGACCTGAAACATTAACTCTGTTTTCTTTCCACAGATGCTGCCAGACCTGCTGAGTTTTTCCAGCAACTTCAGTTTTTGTTTCACCTTGACTTTTTTTTGGGTCTGACCCATGGCACTCTGCCAAAGGAAACAACAGTCCAATTCCTCATCTTTGCACTTTCTGCCTTGAATTATCTTCAAACTTGGGCTAAGAATTTGCGAGCCCAGAGTTGTGTCCAGTGTTGTCCTGTCTGTATCTGTACCTGCCTCTTGTGTCTCTGCCTGGTGCGATCCTCGACACTGCATCGAGGGGCTGTGTTTTGACTGGGTTGAAGCTATGCTCCACTAATCCGCATGCCTCTGCTGATTCCTATCCTAACAGGGGGTCTCCTTTGATCAAGTCAATAATCTGCTGATCGAGCCTGCTCGAATTGAGGAGGAAGAGGTCTGTACTGTTCCCTTTCTATATCAGCTCTACACATGCATGCCCAGTCTGTGATGTGATGAGGTTTACTTCTTAAAGGCTTGGAGAGAGCAAGGTCCTGTGCTGCAAGGACCCTGCATGTAGCCTGACAGTTCACTGTAGTGGAAGTTCTTTACTGGTAGAGGTCATATTTTTGTTGAGGTGGTAAGTACTGAGGGAGACTGCATTGTAACAGCCTGGACCTGCACATTTCATCAAAAGGTGCTGACGCACTCCCCATTCTGAATGATCTGATCTTGTTAAATTCCATTCTTTCTCTTGTTCCTCCTCCCGCTCCCCAACTGAATTCATCAGCCGCACAATCTCTGTCACTGTGCTGCATCCATCAAAATTGAATCCTGACTTTGTGAGCAGGATTTCATCTCTGATGCAAAATGAATTAATTCACTCAGATAGCAAGAACTACAGATGCTGGAGCCAGAGTCAATACAGTGTGGAGTTGGAGGAACACAGCAGGCCAGGCAGCACCACAGGAGCAGGAAAGTCACCGTTTCAGGTTTACACCCTTCATCAGGACTAGCAGCTGAATGTCACAAGGAAATAGAATCCAACATTGTCCCATACACTTAGTCTCCTTACTGTATACAGGTTGGCCAACTATGCTGTAATTCAAGAACACCCTTCCCTGCATTATATGGTCAGAAATGGGATCTTCACGGAAGATTGTGCCGTGTTCAGCACCATCCATGACTCTCTGATACTGAAGTAGTCCATGTTCAAATGTAGCAAACCCTGGATGGTGCTCAGGCTTAGGCTGACTAGTGGAAGTAGTATTAGTGCCATTTCAGTCCTGATGAAGGATATAAACCCAAAACGGTGACTTTCTTGCTCCCCTGATGCTGCCTGACCTGCTGTGTTTTCCAGCTCCACACCGTATTGACTCAAAATGAATTCATGTTGTTTTATCAGCTGTTGACTTGAAGAATCTTAGATGTTTGGTTCAGGAGGTTTTCTGCTGTAAATTTCACTGGTGCTGAAGGGTTGGGGCAAAGGATGTTACTTGGAATTGGGGAGTAGAAAATTATTTCAGAAAATCATTGGCAGCTTAACGTCACAAGGAAATTCTTCCATTCGAATCCAATGTTGTCCCATGCGCTTAGGTTGGCCAATTATGCTGTAATTCAGTAACGACCTTCCCTCCATTACAAGGTCAGAAGTGAGATTATCACTGAAGATTGTGCAGTGTTCAGCACTGTTCATGACTCTCCGATACTGAAGTAGTCCATGTTCAAATGCAGCAAGCCCTGGATGATACCCAGGTTTAGGCTGACTAGTGGTAAGTAACATTTGTGCCATTTTAGCACAAGGCAATGATCAGCTCCAGCAAGAGGAATCTAAATATTGCCTCTCGACATTCGAAGCTATGACCATCATTGAAACAGACAGATGAATGGGTCCTCCTCTGGGGTGCTGCAGGGTTCAGTCAACTATTTACTATACCTCATCTTTATTTATCTAAATGATCTGTCAGCAGAATGTAACATAGTAAAATTCATAGATTATATTAAAATAGATGGGAAAGCAAACAGTAATGAGGAGATAAAGCAAGAGTGTACCTCAAGGATCTGTTTTGGGGCCACTGCTGTTTGTCATTTTTATAAATGACCTGGATGAGGGCGTAGAAGGATGGGTTAGTAAATTTGCGGATGACACCAAAGTTGATGGAGTTGTGGATAGTGCGGAAGGATGTTGCAGGTTACAGAGGGACATAGATAAGCTGCAGAGCTGGGCTGAGAGGTGGCAAATGGAGTTTAATGTGGAAAAGTGTGAGGTGATTCCCTTTGGAAGGAGTAACAGGAATACAGAGTACTGGGCTAATGGTAAGATTCTTGGTAGTGTAGATGA